AAGAAAGCAACCTACATTGCAGTAGCTTAAAGCTACCGAACCAAGCATGGCTGGCAGCCCTGGGCTTGCTTCTGGCTCTCCAAGTGACACCTGATAGACATATACTGGACAGCTCATTTCATGACTCTCTTCTGTCCCAAACAGATGCTTATACACACCGCAGTGAAGAAAAACTCCAGAAACAGCAAAGGCAAGCTCCACTATGAAACCAGTTTCCAAGTCTGGCTAGGCTCCCCTTGATAATTAATTGTTCCACAGACTACAACGAACCTCATGTCATGGCCAAGCCCCGAGTCAATGAGAATGGGACAATCCAAAGGAATTTATTGTGGTCATTCCTGAAAAATCTATCCAGTTGTGGCTGTTAAAATAAAATTGTCAGGCCGTGAGATGTCTCAGAGGGAAAAGGTGCGAGCCACCTTGTCTGCACACTTGAGTCCCATCCCCAGGATGCACATAGTACAACTTCCCCATGCTGTCTGCCAAGGTGTGCGAGCATTTAGATGGTAAAAAAGAACTGGGATTTAGCTTGGTGGTAGAGTGCATAAGCATAAGGTCTGAAATCCAATCCCCACTTTTACTAAAAAAATCAACTCTACAGATAAAATTAGCCACTAAATCTGGAGTTTTACTTCCTAAAAATTTCAAAAGCATGTAAGTACATGTGATATTCAGTGTGTGTGTGTGTGTGTATGTGGGGTGTGCGCATAGTATGTGTATGCAAGTGGTATGTGTGTACACATGTGGAGTGTGTGTGGTATGTATGTGTGTTATGTATGTGCATGTGGGGTATGTGTGTGGTATATGTGTCTATGTGGGTGTCGGCATGTATGTGAGGGAGTGTATATTGTGTGTATAGTATGTGTGTATATGTGTATGTGGGGCATGTATTGCGCACACGCATGTTCATGTGTGAGGTCAGTTAGTTGCTGGTTATTCTGCAGTAGACAGGTTGACTCTGTGTTTACAGAATATGTGTTTGGTGAAAGGCTATACAGACAATAAACAAATCTGTATTTAATAGTGGAAGATAAACACCTATTGAGAGTTTACTATGTGCTTGGCACCACAACAAACACTTCACACCCAATAAAGAGCTGACCCCGGCACAGTCTGACACACAATTACTCTCACTTCAGGGGTGAAGACATGGAGGACCAGGGCACTTCAGTAACTTGCTGTCTTTTTATAGACACCAGTGATCACATGAAAAACCAGGAAGAACTGTGCTCATGAAGCAAATGCCCAAATAACGAAACAGGACAAGGAGGGCTGCCTGTGTTCCTCCTGACACCCAGCTGGGGTGAGGGCAGCCAGAGCTTTCCCAAGTTTACACATTAGATGGCTCACTTGGAATGAGCACCCATTTCCAGAGCAGGTTCCTCTTTGTGGTATTCTTTGAACAGATAAAACCCGTGAGATTTAGATCATGCTTTTCCACAGTCTAAACTGCTTCCAAGAACCACAGATTTAAGAGGGTGCCTGGGAGTATTACAAAAGGAAGAAGAAGAAAACAGGTCTCTCAAAGGTTCCAGTTCACAGCACTATGACACAAAAATCTTCAAACACAGCACTTGACCAATATGTAACCAAAAAGCCTTAACCAACTGGGAGACATGCTACACCAGATCAGTGGAACATCTGCATATGCTTCTGTGTTTTATTTTCTCTACTAAAGGGAGCATTTGCCACCTCCCATTTTAATTACACACCCTTCCTAAAGACCCTGCCCTCAGGGACCTGAACTTTCAAATGTGGTCCAGACTAAGACTGTATTACACCCGCTTTTAGGAAGAGGAAGATAAGCTGCTGGCCTGTTTTCCACTTCCCTGTTATACAGCTGTCTAGAGGGTCCTTGTACCTCTCAGGGTAATCACTTTAGCCAGTAACAATGTTGTGTTTTCCTAGTGGCTGTTGGAAAAGGAAGCAATGGATATCTTCTATTAAAAAAAAAAAATGGCAAGCCTGTGCTCTTTTCCAGCCTGCAAGAAGCTAACTTGTCATGGTCTGGTGAGAAACCCCGGGGTTCACCCATTGCTTCTCATGCATTTAAGCCAGACTGGCAGCTCCCATGATCACATGAGTCAGCCCTATTGATATGGGGTGAAATGTCCTGTTCCACCACTAATGTGTGCCTTTCCTCTCTAAGCAAAGGATATTCTTAAACACCAGGGTGTTCCCACTTCACAAATTTCAATATAATTTGCTTGTGGGAACAAATGGTAACCAAGACCATATGAAATTCATTTGCACAGACGTATTAACCTTAATGGAAACGAAGTGTTTAGTATTTATTTTCCATGGATACTGTAAGAGTCTCCTGATTCTTACTTAATGTCAGGGAGACATTTCTGTTTAAACCTTGAACTAAAATGTAAGTCCAAAGTTATTTTCTTGTATTAATAATGAAGTAATTCCCAATTATCTTCATAGAATCCTCAAGAACGAATTGAATAAATCATTCCAGAATGCTCAGCTGCAAGTTCTGTAATAAAGGGATGAACCTAACGCTACCATCAATGTAATAACTAGTCGCTGCAATAACTGCCATTAATAATACAATAACTAGAGTTAATTTGCCTTATAAAAAGAAAAGTACTAAAGGTTTATGGATAGCTTGTCAAATTAAAATTAATTGTTCCTGAAAATGGTGGTCTTAAAGTTGAGTCACCCTCTTCCTCGACAGCTCTCATCAGCTGCCATGCCCTACAGAGTCTGTCTACACAGTCTAGTAGGGGTAACAGTCATCTGCTTCTGGTTGGAGCATACGCATGCCACATGAGCACTTCTTCTGCCATCTTCAGCACACAAAATCATGTGATCTAAATTGCAGTATCCTATCCAATTTTATGTCATGTCAGAACTTCCCTTCGAAGCATTTCCCTCACACAGATACATTCTTACAAATATATACAATCCCAATGAATAGCACACAAAAGTCTATAGTCAGGCAAACCAAAATGAAAAGTCAAATCATGCAAGAACTGTAAAATGCTGATGTGGGAGGAACCACAGATTGACCTACTTACTCCTGTTATTTCAAAGAGGAGAAGACGCTGGCCCTGTCTGTGAACTGTGATGAAAATTCTAACGAAGAATTCAGCTACTTTTTGATGGCTACGTTTTGATGGGAAATGGCTCAGTTGATAAAACGCTTGCCACACATGCATGATGACATGAGTTCAGCTCCCTATGACTCATGTAAAAAGCTGGGCTCTATGGTATGTGTCTGTAATACAACTGGGGAGACAGAGAAATGAAAAACTTTGGGATGTGCTAGCCAGTGGTGGAGCCAGATCTCTGAGCTACAGGTTCAGTGAGAGATCTCATCTCAAGAAATAGGATAGACAGTGAATGAAGAAGACACTGACACTGATCTCTCCACACATTCACGAACATCCGTAAGTATATATGTGTGTTCTCATTCTCTCTCACCCTTGTCTCCCCCCACCCCCCACAACACACACCCAAATTTTGGTTACACAGTATGCTCAAATAACCCATAACACCAATCTCTGCACAGCATTCTTCTGGCCCTATGGCTGATCTGGAAGAGCTCGCGAACCCCTGGTGGCTCTAGGGTTCTTGGCTACCAGCATCTCCTCTTTCACCAGATCACCGGCCACTCGCCCATTTTATATCTTAGTTCAGGAACAGTGGCGATGAAGAGATGGCTTGGTGGTTAAGAATGCCTGATGCACTTGTAGAGGACACGAGAGAGTTTCCCAGCACCGAGTCAGGCAGCATGCAGCCACCTGTAACTCCAGCTGTAGGAGATCCAAAAACCCTCTTCTGGCCTCCACCAGCATCTGTATCCCATGTATAGACAGACACATATACAGAATTTAAAAAAAAAATTTTAAATCTTTTTTAAAAAAGAAAAAGAAATGTCATTGCTGTAGCAAACCAATGAAGGTGTCTTGAACAACTTTAGATAGCTCTGTCATTTTCTTACCCAGTCTGGACTTACTTTTATTCTAATAACCCCTATAGCACTCTGGGGTGATAGGGCATAGGAGGTCTGGTCCTGTGATCCTAAAACCCAGAACACTCAAGAGGACAGCAAGATAAGAGCTGGAGGCACATAAACCCCTGTATTATAAGTAATTTCCAAACAAATAAAACTTGAAATCAAAGGAGAAAGAAACATCAGGGGAGTGCCGTGGCTCCTGGCTCTAAGGCAATGAAGGCACACAAAGCCAGTGAAGCTGGTGTGGCTCACTCCTGACAGCTCACAAATCCTGAAGCTAGAGCTACTGGGCAGCCCTTAGCCAGGCCTGCTTATTTCCTTACCCAGTCACACTCTGGAGGAGGCTAATGAGTCCACATTTTACTAACAACTATATTACATTTCCACTATTTAGATAGCCTAGAAAAGAGGTCACAACACTTCTCAAAATAACATTTGAAGTCTAACATTCCTCACTGTACCTGATAGCTTCCTTTAAAAGTTATTAATTTAAATAAACTATTTATATTTTAGAGCTGAGGTAAAGTTCAGTGCAATTGGCCAGTGTGTGTGAGGCCCTGAGTTCTATCTTAGCACCACAAAATTAATTAATAAATTCCTTAGGTTTTATTTTTTAATCATGAATATATTTTGTTAGATTGGCTTAAAGACCAATATGAAGTACAGATATAAAGTAACAGATACTTCCACAGATTTCTAGATAGTTTTCCAATAAATTGGTCTTTCACAACATTTAGCCAGACATAATGATACCTGAGTTTTGAGGCCTGTTTGGATGAGACAGTACAATTCTCACTCAAAATCCAAAACCAAAACAAACAATATATATGTATATATACATGCATGTATATATAAATATATATTTTATATTATATTGTAAAGCAATCTGAATGCAACAGTTAAACACTCTTAGAAAAGTAAATGCTTCTCTTTCCATCTCTTCAATCACAGTATTTAAAATATTCCACCATTTAAACACTTGTTTTTATTATTCTCAAACGGTTCATAAAGAGTCAAGGAAAATACTCACAGTTACTTATCACTCCTCCCAGTGGATCACCTTTAAAGTCAAATTCAATATCCATATATTTGCCCTGTCAAAGAGAGACTTTGTAAGTTCATCCCCAAACAGACTGTTTTCTTTAGAAAATAGCATACTAACTCACTTTTAATCCTTTGTCTCAATGTAATTAAGAAAGGCAGTTCATTTACCCATAATTCAAAACAATGGCTCCATGAATAATTCACACTGCATAACAGTACCTAGAGCCCTGTAGCTTGTAGCTAATTTAAGAACAAATCTTCTCTCTCTCTCCCTCTCTCTCCCTCTCTCTCTCTCTCTCCCTCCCTCCCTCCACACACACACACACACACACACACACACACACACACACACGTGGGAAACCTTTCCATCACATGACCTTTCCATTTCAGATATTTTTCAAATTTCCTGAAGGGTATACAGTCTCAAATCAAGACTAAAAACAAAGGTACTAGTCTTGGCAGATAAACTGATTGGAAAGATACGTTATTTTATTTTACAGGCAAAATGTCTTTTAAGCCATTGTTACAAACTCTGTATGAGGCAGTGAGTGAAACGTAGCACTCCATGTTCCCATCTACTCAAATCAAAACACAATGATGTGGTGTCACAAGGTCAGAATCAAGGACTAATTATACTTTTTAGTGCCATTTGACCTAGATTTTATAGCAATATAGAGTCCAGGTTCACATCACACTCTATGACCAGTACCTTAAGACGCACGGAGTTAAATATTGTGAATTCTACAGAGTCGGTGTCCAATTGCCTGAGTGAAGAGTTCCAGCAGAATAACCTTGCCATCTGCTTCGTGTTTGGCAAAGTATATGTTTATTTAATAAGTAAATTGTTTTTGCTTTGTTTCATGCCCTACCTTAATCATAGTTAGACAGATGCTTTGTATATAGTTTCCCCCAGAATTACATTAATTTTAAAAGTGTGATAAGCAGGGAGAAAAAAACATGACCACATGGCACTTAGTCAACAATGCAGTTTGTGACTTTTTATTAGCTTACAGATACTCCCTCACCAGCTCTTCTCCCACTGATATCTATCCTTTTAAATCTTCACTTACACACCAAGCAAATGTCTCCACACCATTTCTTCTAGGATGAAAAGGTGCAGGGAAAAACCAGACACGGTCCCTGCTGAGAAGGAGCTCTTGTAAACAGGCCATTGTAGTGGAGAGACATATGGATGCATATGGCTATTCGAGGAGTGAAGGCAAGAGGAGAAGAGGAAGAAGAGTTCATAGCAAATTCAAAGCCAGCCAAGTCAGGAGACAGGAGGTCGGGGAAGCAGAAGGAGCTGACTTAAGAACCAGCTCCTGTTAGGTTAGTGAGAGAGGGTTTCAGGCTAGAGGCCAAAGTTAGAGCAGTGTGACTTTTTGACATTCTCCTGACATGAGCCACTGTTACTGAAGGTTCCTAAACCAGGAGGCATGAAAAGATTCGCCACTTTACAAGATCATCTGACCAGTGTGCAATGGACTGGAAAGGAGCAGGGCCAGATGCCGTGGGTATCAAGGGATCCGACATCAGCTGGCTGCACTTATTATTAGAGGAGAAATGTTGAGAGCTTCCAGTAAGAGCGGCAAAAGATGACCATAAGCTGAGAGCTAGACAGAGTTGCAGGGACAGGCTTGGACATGACAGAGATCCTCCAGAACAGTGGGGACACGAGGAGGCAAAGCAGCTAGAGATGAGAGAAGAAAACTAAAGATCCAGGGAGCCAGGGATCAACCTTCTGGGAGATAACTTCAACAAGAGTCCCTGGGCCAGGAGGCAACAGGATCCGGAGAGCAGGTGGAAGGATCAGAGAGACAGGACATTGTCCAAGGTCACAGGCATTACCTCCTGAAAAGTCCCCCACAGGCTCACTGTTTGAACACTTGGTCCTAGTTGGTAGCACTGTGTGGGGACGTTGGAGAATTTATGGGACATAGGGACCAACCAATGGATGGACAGCATAATGTCAGGGCCTGTCCCAGCACACAGGATGATGCTTCTCCTCTAATTATATGCCCAAATAATCCTCCCTAAGTTGCCTTTGTAAGGTATTTGGACAAATGACGAAAAAAAGACACCATTACAGGCAGGGCGCTGGGCACAGAATTAACTCAGTTTGATGGCCTGGGAGATGGTGACAATGACCTTTCTAAGGCCGTTAGCGGACAATGAACAGTAAGAGTAAAAACTCTGCAGAGTGGAACAGGAAGCCAACCCCCAGTGACTCGATGTGCAGTTGTGAGAATGTCCTTGCTGAAGGCTGGTGCTGTGCGGCAGCCACACCCTCAGAGCTCATCTAAGCTTGGCTCTGATTATGACAATAGTCTATCTGGAAATAACCGGAAGCTTCCTATCACTTGCAAAGAATGTGTAGTGACTCCAAACTCGACACTCAGCACCCTCCAATTGGAATCCTGGCCCAATTTTCTAGGCCTTGGTTTTAAAACTCCTTCCATTCACTCGACGGTCCAGCAACAAACTATGGTAAATGCAGGTCTGGGTTTCCTCATGATGCCAGGCCAATCCTTCCTGCTCTCCAGTTAATTTTGACCCACTTATGCTTTTTGTGTCCCTTTAATTCTGTCTTCTACTCTAGGATCTTCTCTAAAAGTCCATAAACTTCACCCACATAGCTTCCTGAAAAACTTAAAAATATATGTACTGTGTCATATTTTTAGATATGCCCAATTAGTCTATGAGCCACTTAAAAAGAAGCATTCGTGGACTTTTTCTGAGTGTCTACAATGGCACCATGTGCTCTTCTACCGATTATGAGTCTGAAAGATACACAAGGACTCCAGAATACTTGTTCCCATGGCACCTACAAGGATCTCAAGTCGATGAAGAGAAAATTAGGTAGTCTGGTACAACAACTCCAAAGAATAATAAATACCTTACGCAAATACAACCAAGATGAAGTCAGAGTGTATGAAAGATATTGTCAATGCAACATTTGAAGGGAGACACAAATCATTCAAGATGCCACATAGCACGTGCAGGTCTACAGAGCAAAGGCTTGAGGCTGAGGAGCTCGGGGGATGCCAGAGAGTCACAAAGGTGTGTGAAGCTGGGGCAGGGTGAGGGGGTCTAAGAAGCAGAGACAGTGCTTCAGCAAGATAGGCCCTGGACGCTACCGAAAGAGCTTGCATTGTAAGAGTAAAGGGGCATAGAGACTTGATGGAGCACATCTAAGGATCACTCCCACTATTAGAAAGAAAGAAAGAAAGAAAAAAAGCCACAGGCTACAAGGGAAGTGTAAGGAAACCTATGCTTATATTAAAACACAGAAACAAATCCACACATTTTTAAATTCTTATTGATTGAGTTGGGTGAGGTGGCACATGCCTTTAATACCAGCACTTGGAGGCAGAGGCAGGTGGATCTGTGAATTCTAAGCCAGCCTGATTGACAGAGCAAGTTTCAGGACAGCCAGGGCTGTTACACAGAGAAACTCCACTGATGGGGGAAGTCTGTGTATATGTTTGTCATATTGATTGATAAATAAAGCACTGTTGGCCAATAGATAAGCAAGATAGGCGGCACTAGGAGAAAGGATTCTGGGAAATGTAGTAAAGAACAGAGTCGCCGTGTGGTCCCAGGAAGATAGGATGCTAAGGCCGCTGTCCTCGATAAGATTAATGGTTATGGATGATTATTAAGGAACAAAAGGAGCTTACCATAAGGATATCCTTTTACTAGAAAAACACCAGCCAAACGCAACCCAGAGCGTGCCAGGGGCAGCAAGGCAGCCAGGCCAGAGAGAGCCTCCCATGTGCCTTGCAGCGCCTTAAAACCCTATTTCGAGTCATCCTGACCTCACCTTGACAATGCCCTGACAGGCGTGGTCAGGCACACCTGTAGCCAGCTTCTAGCAGGTGTGGCTTACACTGTCCCCTACAGTTGATACTTAAGACAGAGCTAGCATATAAGAAATCCTAGCCATTGGCTAGCAGTATTGTAATTAATGTAAGATTCTGTGTGTTGTTTGGGGGCCCTAGCATGGCGGCAGGGCTCGGGCTACTGGCGGAAAGTTATCATTACTTTCCATCCAAAAAGAAAATCTTATTGGATGAGAATTTGTGCAAAAACACTTTCCAACAGTACAGGTGTTGCCCTTGTCCCCCCAGCTCATCATTCTACACAGAGGAGATGCCCACGCACTGCTTAAGCAAGAGCACTAATAAACAGAGCCTGAAAAAAAAGAAAAAAAAAGTTCCATATGTCAAACTAGAAACACTGGGGCATGTGGGAGACACTGTGAGGTATGTCCTTGAACACACAGGTACAAGTGTCAGCTATAATTCATGTGTGTTAACTTCAGCATAACGGATTCTGTCAGACTTCTCAGTAAAGTGATCAACAAATTCATTCTAGAGTAACCAAACACAGTCAGGGACACTGTCAAGGTATCACGATTACACAAGGTAACATAGAGTCCAACTATAAAATTATAACACGTATTTAGGTGTTTTGTTAATCAAGTCATAGACCACAAAGCACAGAAATTGCTAGAAGCTAGGCATGAAATGATTTAGCCTATAATCAAGTGTTAATCTCATATTCTACTACCCAAGTTATAAGAGGATTTTTCTGAAGCTATTTAATAAGCTAAATAGCTCGCCAAGCTATTCACTGGATCTTAAATACCACTGTAATGACCTTTTAAGCAATACAGTTTTCTGCCTTTGTATTGCCATGGCCACATGTATTTGTAAATATCTTTAAAAGTGCCATGTGCACACAATTTGCAAACAAAATTAAATTTCTATCACATAACAATCATTGTAATTACTTCATTTCAAACTCTATCTATGCAATGAGATTATCCATGTTGATAAACAAGAAGAGGCCTGGATCAAGCTGGTTATAAGAAGGTAACAGGCTAATCCCATGGGAAAATTCACAGCCTTGGGTTTAGGAACTTATTTAGCCTTCTACTTTCTATGCTACAAAAACTACCTCCACCTGAGACCATTTCATTCTTTAAGCTCTGGACAACTGTCTATGGAGAAGGCCAAAGGGGTCTAAAATGGGGGCATGGGAGACGTTCTGATGTGAAGGCATCAAAGATTATCAAAAATGATTCCATTGGTACAAGCAATGAAGGGAGAAGATGGCTTAGAAAAAAAAATGATTTTGTGTTGTTGCTGTTAAACCACAGAAGAAAAAAAAATCTCAAAACACCATCATGGAGCCAGGGCACATGGTACAGATTTTAATCTCACCGACTCAGGATATTGTGGCAACAGAAACCAGAGAGCTCAAGGCTTAGCTGAGCTACTAATGAGTTCGAGGCCAGCCTGAGTAACTTAACAAGTAACCAAAAGGAGGGGAGGGGAGGAGACGGGATGGGAGGGGTACAAGAGGTATAGTTTAGCATGCACACAGTCTCCAGCACTGCAAAGAGCAAAAACACACTTCTGTGATGCTGAACACATTTGCTCCCGAGGTAGCGTCTACATCTTTGTGAAGAACAGAGGCCTGAGGGCAGCTGGACAAAACCAAGTGTGCCAACCTGCAGACATGTGCTGGACAGTTACAGGGGAGAAGGCTCCAACAGCAGCAAGGGCAAGCCTCCACTAGAAGTGGTGTTTCAGGCTCAATCATGACAAGATATTATTCGCTTCAGTTTTCAGCAGATTCCCCAGACCCTCACACTTACCAATCCTAGAGATTTTACCTGCAGGAAGGTTTAAGAACATCCCCTCCTTTCTTAAGTTATCAATAAGAGACAAGGGCAACAGAGCACAAAACTTGATACTCACTTCATCTTTCTTTTTCACTGAATTTCTGATTCCTTTTGTTTGTTTGTATGGTTGGTTGGTTGATTGGTTTTTCTGAGACAGGGTTTCTCTGTATAACAGGCCTGGCTGTCCTGGAACTCACTCTGTAGCCCAGGCTGGTCTTGAACTCACAGAGATCAGCCTGCCTTTGCCTCCCATGTGCTGGGATTAAAGGTGTGTGCCACCACTGCTGGCTGAATTTCTGATTCTTCCCCCTCCCCCTCCCCCTCCTCCTCTTCTTCCTCCTCCTCTTCTTCTTCTTCCTCTTCTTCTTCTTCTTCGGTGTGTGCCACCACTGCTGGCTGAATTTCTGATTCTTCCCCCTCCCCCTGCCCCTCCTCCTCCTCTTCCTCCTCCTCCTCTTCTTCTTCCTCTTCTTCTTCTTTTTTTTTTTTTTCTGAGACAGGGTTTCTCTATAGCTTTGGGGGCTGTCCTGGAACTTGCTCTGTAGATCAGGCTGGCCTGGAACTCACAGAGATCCACCTGCCTTTGCCTCCCAAGTGCTGGGACTAACAGTGTGCACCATACCACCTGGCAAGTTTCTGATTTTTAATTATGATTTCCAAATAACAACCACCAGATGAGTAAGAAATGATCCTGAATAGTCTTATTTAAACCCATGTAACTTTATGACTGAAGATGAGGAGAAAACATGACAAAAATAGCTTGCCACTACAAGAAAAACTGAAAACTCTCAGAAAGCAAAATAAATAAATGACAAACAAAGAGCTCTCACAGGACTTCCAAAGGCTCTCTTCTGACCTTAAAAAATGTGTGTATTAAGAAATATTAAACATCTGTTTGCTTAAATACACATGGACTAAATATTAGTGTTAGCACTTAAGCTTATACAAATACTTACAAATCTAGAGGAGTTGTCATTCCTTACGGTCTTGGCATTTCCAAAGGCTGGTGAGAAAGAAACAGATGCATCAGTAAATCTGATAAAAAAATTAATAATTCTGAGCAGAAACATAAAGCAACCATAGTACCAAACAGGAATAACCCCTGGCAAACACAGCTTGAAATGACAGCATTTCTGCCCAAATGCCATACACTCATATCCAGCAGAAATTTTAATAAGTTGCTAAAACTTCCCTCAGTTATTAGAAATACACATGGAAAAAGTGACAGCCCTGATTCTTGGGGCTGTTTCAAGTGTCACTCCAAACTTAGTCTTGCCTAATTCGACACCATTTCACTCCTGTGGATAGGATTCTAATGAGTGGGTGGCAGGTAAGGCATCTACTCCTCCGCCAACATTAGCAGTACAGTTATTTCATAAATCATCTTCTATTACCGTAGGTTTGATGGAAGTGGGTGAGGTTTAGAGAGCACAGGAGGCATATGAAATTTAAACTAACTCTGAAATAAAGCTATTTATATAAATGTGATTACGTAAGTACAGTACAGCAAGAGAAATATCTACCGAGAGTTAAAAATGAGTCATTTAAAATAAGATAAAAACAACACATAGTTTATTAGTTTATGCCCAACAGGCAGACTTACATGAAATCTAGAAAATACAGGAAACTAACATGACCCACGATGCACAGCCCAAGTCTATGTTGGTCTTCGCTGCTTCAAGGAGACACATCTGCCCTGGGGCCCCCTTTGAAATGAGGACCCATGAGAACTACCGGCTGATTGCGCCTGGGCACAGAACGTTTAACCATGTCCCCTGTTCAACTCAGGTGACAGCATAGCTATGCGGCACACAGACTGCTTCCCCAAGCCTGTGCACAGATACTGACAAGTCAGTCTGGGATGACGAAAACGGAGAACAGAGTGGCCTGGATGCATATATCCCTGTGGATGCGCGGAAGGCAGTAGTGCACCTCAAACCTGAGGTGAACCTAAGTCGAGAAAGGCTCTTGTACGGGCACTTGGGCCAGTAAATCCTGGAAGAGATGCAAAATTCTGCATTTCCATCAAGCTGTTCCCCTGGGGATCTGGGAGCCACATTTAAAACTAGTGAGGAAGCATTCGTGATGATGTGGTTAAATGAAACAAACCTCTTGAATAAGAGGCTAGATAGTGCATTTCTGGAAGCCTCTATGCCTCCATCAATTTAAATGGGGGAGAGCATTAGGGCATCAACCATCCATCAGAGAGCACATGGGCGTCAGAGGAGGCCCTTCCCTGAAAGCAGCACCCTGAAAGAGGGTGGGAGGATTCTCAGGGAGAGTAATGACAGTTCAGCGGCCAAACCTGATGTTGAGCCCACTGTTTTATATCTTCAAAAAACATGTATTTATGTGTTTGTTCAGCGGCCAAACCTGATGTTGAGCCCACTGTTTTATATCTTCAAAAAATATGTATTTATGTGTTTGTTTATTGTGACTAGGCATGTGGTGGTCAGAGGACAACTTAAAGGATAAAGGAGTTGGTTCTCTCCTTCTACCACACGGGTGCTGGTTTCTGAACTTGGGATATCAGGCTTGGTAGCAAATACCTTGATCTACTGAGTCATTTCACTCATCCTGTTTCATGTTCTTTCCTTAAAAACAAATAATTGACTGGGGTGGTGGTGGTGGTGGTGGTGGTGGTGGTGGAAGCATTTAATCCTAACATTCAGAGGAAGATCTCTGTAAGATGAAGGCCAGCCTCGTCTACATAGTGAGTTCCAGGTCAGCCTGCTCTACACAGAGAATTCCAGGCCAGCCAGACCCTGTTTTAAACATCACGCAGCTGGCTCAAAATGGGTTAAGACAAAGTTGACAAAGTCAACAGAGAACGTTCCTTATGTTAAGAAGTTTGAGCCAATTATGGTTTGATAAGTTCCTGACACCAAACTCTCCCCTTCAGAGGAAGACAGGCTGACCCTGCTGTACACTGAGAGGGGAAACCCTGCCAATACTCACAGAAGGAAGCAAGTTGAGTGGGGGATCCGATCCTCATCACATACCCACTGCCAACCAAAAGGCACCCATGAATGCAACCTTGATGACAGTGGACACTTGACCTGGTGTCCCCATTAAACCGTGATATTCCCCATGCTTTTGTGGGCTAGTCTTCTGTGGCCAGTTTAGAATGTAGGCCTGCCAAATTAATGAATTAGTGCAGGCCCAAAGCCCAGCTCAAGATGCTGACACATAAAGATCAACGTGCTGTGGCTTGAAGGTCAGGGGCCAGCAAAGGACTGCTCCACAAGACCTGCTCAGAGCCCCATCTGCAAGCCATAAACCATCTTTTCATCAAAGAAGTCTGAGTTGCACATTACCAAACACAACCCTAAACACTCAAGTCTTTTACTGTGAGCCTCATAATTAGAAACAAGTGCTCTATTATAGAACACCCGAGACACATTCCACAGTTGTTTTTTTTTAAAGTTCGTTGTTCTAAACGTTCATTTACAGTAGCAGCTCCAGTTAAAAAGCAAAGCATTCCCATAAAGATAACACACACCCACAGTAGGCATTTCTTCAATTTCCCGCACTGCAGCCTAGCTTCAAATACCACCAAATAGAGAGATTCTAGAAAAGATGCAGGCTGCAGCATTCTGCTGCGCCACAGCTTTCCTAAGATAAGCATGCCAGAAATACAGCTCATGCAGAGCACAAAGGCAGGGAGGCAAAAGGCCCACATCTCAGATCAATAAAAAGAAAAGATGCCACTTCTTATATACCCTACCAGTTAAGGTACTGAACAGAGTAGAGATCAAAATGTAATGGCTTAATGGCTTACAGGGCTCCATGTCTCCTATCTTGCCAGCCTCAGGCCAGCAGGCATGGTGTCCCATCTGAAACATGAAGTTTGTTTCATAGTGAATGCTCAAGAGGTCAAGAACATCTCTAGGAGGGGAGGAGGGGCTGAGCCGGAGTACAAAAGACAACAGGGAGGGGACCCTCCGTGCCAAGAGCTGCCTACCAGTGCTACTTTCATCCATCTTCAGTCTTGTCCTTCTGTTCTCTGAGCAAAGGATTGAGCCAAACTATTCCTCTAGACCAGATTCTAAAACTATGCTTTTGCCTCTCTGGGAGACAGCTGCTAATGTTTGGAGACATTTTCAAATCTGACAGGTACAAGGGTGCTACGGGCACCTGGCAAGTAGATGCCATAAATGCACAGGATAGGCCTTGTGTTCGAAGCAAAGACAAGTCCAACACAACAGTGCCTAGGCTAAGAAATCCCATTGCATGTGTGTGTGTGTGTGTGTGTGTGTGTGTGTGTATGTATGTATGTATGTATGTATGTATGTATGTATGTATATATGCATCTCTACCATGCCTGGTATCCACAAAAACCAGAAGGTGTCAGATTGTTTGGAACTAGAGTTACAGACAGATAAAAGATGCTTTGTGTGTACTAGGAACCAAACCCAGGTCCTCTGGTAGAGTAGCCAGTGCTCTAATTACTGAGCCATCTTTCAGACTCTAATTTCATTTTTAGTATAAGGATGGTTTATACCAAAGGTAGATGCCATGCTCCAATCCGGTGAACAGGACAGTCTCTAGCTCAGTCCTGACTGATGGGCCAATGTTTTTGGTCCTTTTTCTCCATTTACATGTTAAAGTTCTAACCCTCAATGGGACAGCCTTTGGGAAATACTTCAGGCTAGCTGAAGTCATGAGTGTGGAGCATGGAGTATGGGGACATCATGGAACTCAATTTTGTCCTTGTTCCCAAGAGACACAGAAAGAGGAGTTCACATGAGCATCAAGGTCTCTGAGACAAGAGAAGGCCTCCAAATGAAACCTACCTTAGCAGGGCTTTGATCTCTGTCTTCTAGCTTCCAAGAATATGAGCTAGCTACCAGAGAGCTAGGAACAGAGCCTGGGAGATGGATCTACAGCCAGCTTTGGGCTTTCTACAGCCCTTGATTTTCCCTGACAACAAAAATAACCAGCCACGGGCATTATGATGAGTGGCAAAACATCACTACACCATCAACTGCAAACACCCGTCAACTGCTTATGAGCAAATCAAAGTAAGTTCAATGAAAATTGAGTGGCAAAGACAATTTTTGGGTGGGAAAGTAACTTTTCCGTGGGTAAGTTATTCCCTCTTTTAGGTACTTGAAGTTAAGCATCACTAAGAAGGGGCTTTTTTTCCTCAAAAGCTTGGCCAGCACTGTGTCCTCTTCCCTCCCTGAACACCAGGCAGCTGCAGTGCCCTGAAAACAAGCTTGCTATTTGAATCACAACAAGCCAACATACACAAAATCCTTACCTTCCAGGACAGGGTTGGACTGCAGAAGCTGTTCCTTGACTTCATTAACTTCCGCTCCTTTTCCACAAACTGCTGCCACATAGGACATAACAAGCTTGCTGGCCTCTGTGGAGAGAAACAGCCGTGTTACTCAATTATAAAGAATATTCTCTCCCATCTTGTTGGGAGAGGATTCACTAGCAACATTTCAAAGGTGGAATCAGTGTTTCAGGGCCTTTCAGCTGTGCATTTTCATATCAGGTCAGCTAGAATCCGGCTGGTCCTTGAGGTTTATCTCTGAGCTGTTAAAACGAATACTAAGTTACATGGCCAAAGGAAATCTCAGGAGCACCGCACTACTACACTGTCAAAGTAATCAGGCACATACAACTATGTTCCGTACATGCTGCAAGCCAAAAAATAACTTAGTCATCTGAGCATCTTTGCCAAATGTATTTCTGAAATTTAAAAGAACCGCTTTTCTTCAAAATAGTTTCTGCGTCAAATTAGGTTGTTCACAATTAGGCTAGACTTGGTGACTCTTCAGTTCCAAAAGTGAGCAGCTAACGTGGGATTCACATTCTTCCAGGGTAGTCATTTCTGTAGACTTTGTGAGTAACTGAAAGTCAAGCTGAGGAGGAACCCACCACACAGAACAGACAACTCTTAGCTCTTGTGGGGACAGGGACAAGTTCTGTTTGTTTATTTTATCCTTCTTGCCACTTAGTGACCCCTCTCTCTCAGTAACTTTCCACACAGAACCACCCCTCTAACACTTAATTCCAAAGGACATCAGCCTGTGTTCAAAGAGAAGGTGATGCCAGGTCCACAGTGAGGGAGGAACAGTAAAGCAAGCATCCTCAATGAAGGGCTTCTCAGAGCCTTCCTTATGCTCCTGGGCATTGCAGAACTCCAAAAAGGATCTAGACTGCTTCATCCCCTTCAAGTTTATTTGCCATGGAGTCTGCTTCCTGTCCATATGTCTAGTTCCAATGAACCATGGTCAACACCTAGGAAATTTGTCAGCAGAACAAAACAGCATGGTCTGGGCAGGTAGGGCGAACAAACCAATCTTAATATCCAGCACTTTCTCAAATCTGTATTTAGTGCAACTCTGTAGGAGTAGGAAGGCCTCCTTGGGTGCATGAAGGGGGTCCTGCAAATGGATGAAATAAGGCTACCCTAGCACGACTGTTCCTCTAGGAAGCTTTATAGATGGACTACATCCCTTCTCCTCACAGAGGAAACAAAGGATGAACAATGAACAGCATTTGATATGTGCTGCCCATCATGTGCATGTAGACTCCTGAACAACACGGAAGTGTCAGCTAACGAGGATGTGAAAAACACCAACAATCTACATGAGTCTTAAGGCAACTTTGGGAGCACTAGTATTTATGATACAAGGAAAGAAACAAATGGGCGAGCCTTTCAATGAGTAGAGTTAAATCTCCCTCCAGTTTTCTTTCTGGGTAATCTAAGTGGATTCGAACACCTTCTCTGGTAGTCTGTGGTGATCCCTGCTGCAATCTCCCTATAACAGCCATAAAGGTGCAATGAGAATCTTTCCGTCTTTGCAAGATGACATGAAGTAGCCTTTATTCATGAAGTCCCCAAACTACGCATTCCATTTCTCTTGAGTCTAGTGGCCACATTTCCCTCTACCTACCCTTGATCTGCAGTGGAACTCCGTTTTCCAGATCTTCTGGATGCCAACATCCTGTGCTGCTGGTCTTGGACTCTACCCAGGACGTCTAGAAATGATGTCTACATCTTACATCTTACAGCCCGATTCGCACACGCACTCCCTGGCCCGTCTTCCTCATTTCCCTGTCTTCAAAGTATCACTCATTGCCCCTTTCCCCCACCAGTAAACTCACATCTACTAGGGACAGTATCCTTTTTTAGAGTTCAATTTCTGGTCTTTCTAGTCTTTACAAAACTAGCAAAATGAATCTATTTATAGGCAAAATAACTGTCTTAAACAGATCACGCTTCAGATAAAAGAGCAAGTCTTCTGTTAGGAAAACTGACACAAAACATAAAAAGCCCAGGCTGTTTTGCTTATTCTGGTAACTATGGAGCTTTCTTAGCCAAGACTCAAACTTCAGACTCAGCCACACTGCCTCCTCTGGAAACCCTGCTTTGGTCCAGATGAACCCTGCCTTGGTGGGGAAAGAGGAAATGGGATGGAACAAGAAACCACTGGTGGTGCTAGAACCAATGTGGCCTCTTGGAGACACCTGGATGGCCAAAACCGGGTCTGGGAACAGATCTCTTGGGGTGTCCACTGGGCTTACGTCACCTGGCTGTTAAAATGCATATAAACCTACAGAACCCACTGGCATGTAGAGATGGTTTAATTTAAATAGAAATGTAGGCACTTTTACTAGCGCTAAAACTTACTTAAGAAAGCCAAATAGTTTTTGAGTATAGTTCAAGGCTACAACTCATGTTTTAACAACTTATTTCTAAGTTGGTAGAAAGTATCTATGCTCACATCCTTAATTACCTTCAGGAATTCTACTACACAGCACTTTTTAATAATTAATTTCTGGAAACAGGAATTAAAAATAAATTTTTCCAAGGGGCCAAGGAGAATGCTCAGTGGGTAAAAATGCTTGCTGTTCATGCCGGATGACCTTGATTGGGATCCCTGGAGCCCATGAAGAAGTCACAAGGTAGAAGATGAGGAGTACTTGGGGTTGTCCTCTGACCTCCACAGCCATGCCCTCCCACACAAATACATGCTCATTTCCTCAAACAAAGCCACACTGTCTAAAGGAGAGAACTCATATGTTTTTTTCTCGCTGACATAGTATCTGATCTTCAACTCAAGTAGTTCACCCTATGGAAGGCCTCACCATCCAAGGGGAGCAGAAAGGATATGTGATAGATAGGGTTTTAGTTGGAGGGGGGTGGTGGTAGGGGAGGACGGGTGGGAGAAGGGAACTGGGATTGTCATATAAATCAATCCTGTTTCGAATCCCCCCCCCCAAAAAAAAGTTGAAAAAAAAAAAAAGAGTAGACGCTCGACAAGCTACTAGGCTGTGTGCTGCATGGACATTTTCAGGCCTCTCCGTGCCGGGAACAGGAGATCACCCTCACGACCACTCGTGTTTAACACAGGCTTTCAGTTCCATTTCCTTTTGGCTCTAAAGTCCAAATAAATTTGAATCTGCATTCAAGTCTTTTATATAGTCATAAAATCCAAATCTCCGTGTAATAAAGAATGAGTACACTGCCTCAGGTAAGGGGGAACTGGATATCAGCCTCCAGAGCTCAAAATCTAGTTTCTGAATTACTGACTGTAAGGACCACAAGTACAGATGCTGAAACTTGGCTCAGAATCAATTCCGGATGCATCATTTCTAACCCAGGTACATGAACACTCATGCCTGCCCAAATCCCAACCTTCAGTTCTGTCAGCAGTGGGACAAAATATGATCTTCAAGGCCAAAATCTCTTCTCACAGAACGCAGTACCATGTGTAAGGTTTAACACGTATTTTCTGTATCAACAGACACAAATGCCCTTTAATGAGATACTTCTAGATCCAAACATCTATACCATGATAAATCCCCATGAGGAATGAAAAGGGCTTATTGATTACAGATTGTAATTCTGAAGACTTTAAAGTACTATAAGGGTAAAAGTAATTTGTCTGTATTCTTTGGCACATGGCACTGGGTTTTGAATATTGTTATTACAAATGTATTTTATAATACATTTGTGGCAGGTGAATGGAAGACAGGTGAATATGACCTTGAAGTCAGAAGCATGGGATTCCCTAGGCATTAAAACGTCTACATGTTCACTGAGCGGCCTCTGCTTGTGTTCAGTCCTAGCACTGGGTAGATGGGAGCTCTAAGTGTTTGCAAACTTGTTTTAAGCTCCTAGGAAGTCTGCCCAGGAGTTAATAGACATCTGTAACAATTGTGGTCATAGATGCATGTAATTACATATGTCACATACAAGTCAAGGAATACACAGGCAGACAGACAGACTCTGATGTATTATCTACCTTTCTATCTCCTTAGGTGTTAAGACACCTAAGTTTTTCTAAGGATGCAACTTACAAAGGTCTGGTGTTTAAGGTACATTAAGAGTAAGAATGTCCTCCAGGCAGTGGTGGCGCTCGCCTTTAATCCCAGTTCAGGGGAGGCCTGCTCTAAAGAGTGAGTTCCAGGACAGCCAGGGCTATCCACAGAGAAACCCTGTCTCAAAGAATAAACAACAATAACAAACCCAAGAAAGTAGGAATGCCTACCCCAGCGAGGCCATGTTTGTGTCAATGGAACAACCTTTCTGTTACTTAGAAGAACACCTGCTTCAGAGTCCCTAGGGCTTTACAACCCAGCTACAGCATACCCAAACCAACCAGACAGGCAACCAGGAACTACATCAATGAAAACAAAAGGCAAAAATTTTTCAATAAGAAACATGGTTTTAGGGACAGAGAGATGGTTTAGTGGGTAAAGGTGCCTGCAGCCAGAGTTCAAACCTTGTGACACACACGGTAGAAGGAAAGAATCAATTCCCTCTAGTTGTCCTCTGACCTCTACACGTATGACATATGTGTCATACACACACACACACACACACACACACACACACACACACACACAAATAAATAAA